ATCTTCCATGAATGGGTTTTTTTAGAACCTGGAAACCAGTCCTACAATTGTTAATCATGTAAATGTCCCTTGCTGACATTAATGGCACTGCTTGCCTGCATGAAGATTACTCATGTGAGTAAGATCTGCAGTGACCTCCCAGCAGAACTAACAAGCATGTCAAACACAAGTGAAAGATATTTACAATCTGTGCAAGTAGCATTTTATTGATTAAAGAGGTCTGTCTCAGAAGCAATAAACATCAGAAAGGCACTGTGGCAAACATTAGCTGGTGTCTATTACAACTTTTTTTGCAGTTTTGGGTCTCATCTAAACAGCAGTACTGTACTAGATGAGTACTTGTGAGGAAGGGGAATGTTAGTGGGGATTCAGGGTTTGGAGTTGCAATGAGGAATTTAGTGCACAAAAAAGTCTGTTCTCAAGTTTTCTCACCCATACAGCAAAAACCTCCCTTCTTGTGCAGTCATTTGGTTAGTTTTCTAACTGTAAAATAGTGCCAGCTACTTCCAGTATTAACCACTCCCTGCCCCCTAAATAACAATCATAAATGTGTTTTAGTTCCAGTAAATGCTACTTTATACTGCTGAAGAGTGTAAGAAGGAATTGATATTGAAATAGAATTGACTACTTCATACAGTTTATCTAAAGAAAATTTAAAATGGTATGGCTGGATTCTCTTACGCCGGTCTCACAACTATAGCTCGCTGACTTCATTATTTACACCAGAGAAAGTGAGAAGGGGACTATCTGGCCTTATCTAAATTTTGGTTTCAGCCACACTGATGCAACTACATCAGTAGCTGAAGAGATAGCCTAAGGCTATAGACCTTTTAGTAGCCTAGCTGAACTGAAGCAGTGGCATTGCTGTAAGAGCTTCTGTATAGCCACTCCTAGCGGAGTGAGAGAGCACTCCTGTTGGCATAATGAGGCCACCCCCAATGAGCAGCAGTGGCTATCTTGGCAGGAAAGCATCTTCTGCTGACATAATGTTGGTTGGGGGTGTGGGTTTTTTCCACAACCCTGAATGACAAAAGTTTTACCAACAAACGTGTTAGCATTTTAAGTGTAGATGTAATACTATAAGGCAGCCACTGCATCGCTTCAGTGGAGGCATTACCTACGCCTACAGGAGAGGTTCTCCAGGCAGCAAAGGTAATGAGAAGTGGCAGCTAGTTCAATAGAAGAATTCTTCTGATGAATTAGCCCTGTCTACATGGGACTTAGGTTGCTTGAGAGTGCTATCCAAGGGTGTGGATCTTTCACACCCTAGACTGTAGTAGTTAAACTGACCTAATTGTCTATTGTAAACAAATGCAATCCAATGGTGTAAACCACAACTGATCCTGTGGCAGCTTATCTTGGTTTCAAGCAAGTCATGATTTACACTGGTCCACTGCATCTACACTAGATGTTTGCACCTCTACAGACATATTGGAGGCTACAAACCTGAGTGTAGGTCTCTGGCATGTGGCTTGTATAAGATTAGAATTAGAAGTTCATCAGTTTAAATTAGTGAAACCCAAATCATATTATTCCATGTTGAAAAACTCTGAGAAGGGAAAAAGGGTTTCTCTCATGGAGCTTCTATTGCACTCTCCTCAGGGTCAGGTGTATGTGGCTTTATGGGCAGATCCTGAGGTGCACCATCCTACCTGTAGAGTCTGAGGGTCCCTGGAGAAATTAAATTTCACTCCTGTAGATTCCACCCATTTACATGGAGTGTAACACACGTGAGAGCCACTGCACACAGGCAAGGCTCACAATGGGATATGCATTTCTGACTGGAAAATACAACTTGATCCTGGAAGTGTTTTTAGTGCCTCTCAGAATTAAGTTCCTGTAAGGACTTGTAGAGTGTCAAAAGTGCTGAAGACACATACAGATTTACTTTTTTGTAAATGAGGCCCTAAATCTTCTTTTATCCCATGTGAAAGATATGACTTCCAGGAACAGCCATAAAAAGATATATGTGTGGGGGTGGGGGGAGGAGGAGAGGGGTTTAATTAGAGAAAAGATCTATCTTTTTTTTTTCCCCAGTCCTGCCACTTCTCACCTGACTTGCTTTTATAAACAGTAACATTACCATTTTGTAAAGTGTATATTGATGCTAGTTAAAAATTGATCTCACTTTTTGACATAAATTTTTTTTTTTAATTAAATCCTCTGAAAAAAACAATTTCTGCTTTTAAAAACTGAGACTTGTTGGGTAAAAAACTTAAGTTTTTTTCAGTGATTGAAAACTTGCCTTTTAACATTCATTCTTTAATTTTTCCTTTTTTCCCTCTGAAATTTTTCGGGGTGGGGAGAGAGAATGATTTCACAAACAGCTCTAATGAATGCCTCTTAAAATCCCTTACTGATACCTGCTAAATACCTTACTCATAAAAACGAAAGAGGAGACTTTTCAAAGGGACAAAGGGCAGTTGGAGCCTAACTCCTATTGATTTTCAAAGGGATTTAAGTTCCCAACTCTCATTTGTACCTTGAAAACCTCTCCCCAAAGCTAAAAGTCTCGTGGAGTTGAACTAACTCTGTGACTTTCTTTTTGAACAGTCAGAATGATACGGCGGAAAAAGTACAAGTGTCCGGCAGGACACTGCAGTCCTGCTTTTAGGGCCCAATCCAACAAAATTAGCTTTAAGAGCCTGGCCGATAAGATCATTGAGAGTTCCATGCCTGAAGAGCAAGCAGGAACAGATCTTTAACTCAGACAGCTTTCCCCCTGAAAGTAGGACTGAGTATACACAGCAGGATATGGCCCTGATATACTTGTTTCAAACAGTGCCTACCCTGTGCTTATGGTAAGTAGTGACAATTCCTTGTAGACAGTCATTTTTAAGCTGTTTTTTTGTTAGTCCCCTCAATACAGATTTTAAAACACATTTATTCTAAATCCTTTTTAGAGCTTGAATTTAAAACATGATTTAACATTACAATATGTGAAATCTCCACTTGCAACTTCGTTAACAGAGAACATCTGACTCCAGGAGAAAAATCGCTTTCAGTTACGTTGTCAGTGTTCTTCTATGCATTAATTCTAAGTTCCCACAACTGTAACTCCATTGTGTTCCATGTCATAAATAAGAAATTGCATGATGACAGTTAAAATTCAAAAGCACAAATGTTTCTCCTTGCTGCTTTTTTTAGTCTGAGCGTAGGGTTTTTGTTTTGTTGTTGTTGTTGCTGATTTTTTGCCTCTAGCAGATGTTAACTTGCAGTAATGTTATAACTGCTCCCGCTGATGTATTTATGGTAATATTAAAGAATGCAAGCAAATACAAGAAATGTTGCTATTTCGTAAATAAAACAAGAAACAATTTCTACTGAGTCTGAAGAAGGCTGTTACATTTGTGGTATTAAACTATACCTCCTCCCCAGCACCTTGGTTATTCCATTACTTTGAGGAGAAATCTTAAATTAGCTTTAAGAAATACAGCCCTGACTTGCATTTTATACAGTCCTCGCTGAAGTCGACTGAGTGGCAGAGTGTAAACCCAGTGGAGTTTGGTCCGTAGAATGAATACAGAAGAGCTCCCTTGTCTTTCTTGCATTCTGGGTTGTGGTCCCTTTAACCGTGGAAAAACAGTTACAAATTGTTCCCAGAGCTAAACCACTTAACATCTTGGCACTTGGTTGTTTTTAACTTTAACAATAGGCACTGTTCACTCCTCTGGATATCTGCCTTTTATTCTGTAATCAAGCAGGAATACTGATGAAAGGCTAGTCACAGCTTCTCGACTTCTCCCCCTGGTATCAGTGTGGTGGCATGTGATGATTCCCATGGGGCGTGTTTGATCCAAGAAAGCCCAGCCTCTGCTTATTTTTTCTTTGTTCTGTCATCTAAGGTGGAAAGGGAGATAAAGATGAGAGGTTTTGACTATGATGTAGACGCAGCACATGCAATTCAGTGCAGTAGCATTAGAAGGGAATTTTTTGCAAAGTACACACAAGCAAAATAAATGGATTTTTCATCGTTAAAAACCAAGTACAAGAGTCCTTTGAAATATGATATTGTCTCATGCAAAGAATGGACTTGTGTGTGCGTGGCTGGGGTGGGGGAACAGGGCTGCTGACGGCGGGGGAGGAGCGGGCAAGGAGAGGCAGTTGGTTGCCTGGGGCGACTTATTCAGAAGGGCCAGGGCTCTTGGCTGTTGCCATTGCTACTGTGGCAGCAGTGATGACTGGAGCCCCAGGACCTTTTAAGTTGCCACCAGAGCCACACACAGCATGTGCTGGGTGGCTTTGAAGGCAGCCAGGGGGTAGCACTGATCCCCTACCCCTTCCACCAGAGTACCTTTCTCCCGCCCCCCACCTTACCCTGGGGCCTGGGTATAGGCTGTAACTCCAGAGAGTTAAACTAAAATCCCCTAGTCTACAGCTATATCCTATGCAAGGCTCAACCCATTATAAAAATTGAATTCCCCCCACTTTGCTGTTAGGATTTCAAAATTTAACTTCTTGCTTAGCTGTTCACTAGTTGCGTTTAATGGCATAAAAACTCATTCTGGGATCATATCTGTGAACCTTTTCTAAACTGTATTGTGCTGGAACTAAAACCTCATAGAAAAGTGCCCTGATCCTGGCCCAAGACAGAATCTAGTTCTCTAAGCATGTGTTCATATATCAGTTTTCTACTAGGGATGTTAAAACGGTTAACCAGGAATCATGAGGCTTACGGGTGTGCTTACCCATTAACCAGCCCTTGCGGATGAACTCCAGTGGTGGCTAGCTCTGCAGGGCCAAAGCAGCCCCGGCTGGGGATGGGTTGGTGGGCCAGGTGGCGGAACCCCCAGTCATGGCAGGCCAGGCAGCAAGTGCTGAGTCAAAACGATTAACTGGTTCAACATCTCTATTTTCTGCCCAACTCAGAGACACTTACCTGTTCCTTGAGCTCAGCAAGCTGACCGGAGAGCTGTTTTACAAGGCTCATGGTTGACTCCAACTTCTCTTGCAGGTTTCTAATTTCATTTTGCTCATTGTCCCCTTCGTTGCTAACCAGGGACATGGCTCGCATGCGAGGGAACCAGTCCAAATTCTTCTCCTACATGTAAATACATTTTTTAAAAAAAGTTAATGTTATTCACCCGGGGCTCTAGAAAGAGAACTGTGTGGGCTTCTGCTGCATCACACCCACTGGAGGAGAGATTAAGGAACATTAATATGGGAAACTACAATATTATAAAACATTAAAAGTTGTCTGTCCACAAAGGAAATAGCCAGGGAAAAATCTTAGCCTCATTGAGGTCAGAGACTAAATTCGCATTGCCTTTAGCGAGGCCAGGTTTTTCACCCCAAGAGAGAAACAGAGGTTGCCTTATGATTCCAGGAATCCAACCTTTCTGTATTCACACGGTTTATAAATATTGATTAGGGCGCTCTACTCTCAAGTGGGCTGCTCTCCTGTGTAGGAATGCTGGCAGAGAGGTGTGCAGCACGTCTAGGGCCAGCCCTCGTGGGGATGGGAAGAGAGCATCGTACTTCAAGCCCTGCTCTGGCTCCAGCCTTGCTCCTCCTCTAGCCCCATTCAGTCCCAAATCCAACTGCATTTCCAGGCTGGCTCTAAACTCAGCTGCAGCTCCACTTGACACCTCCTTCATCTCCAGCCAGGCTCTGCCCTCATCCCCTCCCCGCCCCAGACACAGCTCTTCTCCCCACCCCTAGTTATGCCCCCAGCTCCATCTTCATCCCAACCCCCACTGTTAAGGAAGTAATGGCAAGGGGGGGGGGGTGAGTGAAAAAGAGCAGCACTGATATATACGCAGGCTTAAAAAAAATGCAGTGAGTAGTTTATGCAAGATGGGGTGGAGTAGCACAAAGGGGATTGTTCAGCGTGACTTTGGAATGGTGGAAGTGCTCTTGAATATGCATGCAGTACAGAACTGATGTGTGCGCGTGAGGAAGGGAATACTGCCCTGCCTGGGGAATGGGAAGAGGTGCCTGGGCCATGCTGCAGTTCCAGGTTGGGATTAGAATCTAGTGTTCTTTAAGCATGAGACAAGAAAAAGGTTCCCATGTCTAGTAGCACATTACACACACAGGCCCAGACTTCCATGCAGAAATAGGTTAAATCAGGGCCATGCCTTCGGCAGCAGATAAAAAAGTTGCCACATGATGTCATTACAATTAAGTGCTCTAGAACATGTTCCTTCCAGGCTCCAATATACCCTGCAGTAGCGGGATGGCTGGGGGCTCTCCACCCCAGCTAGAGCAACTTCCCTAGACAGACGGGGGACGGTTACTTATGCTGGGGCCTAATCCAACCCATGACACTCTGGAGCCAAGAGCTATCCTGCTTATATTGTTAGTTTTTGCTCTTTGAAGAACATGCAGGTGAAGGGGAATGTAGCCATAGACTCTGTTAGTCTAGAAGTTGAACCTCTCTAGGCGGGCACCCTCCGGACCTGACTGGAGCCAAACCAGAGAATTTGCCGAACCACGGGAAGTCAGTGTTACCTAGCAGCCTTGCCAACACTTCCACTGCTTACTGGGCTCTTAGAAGATATTTAGGGATCTGTTAGAGCTAGATAACAGCACAGAACACTAAGGGTATGTCTACACTACCCTCCTAGTTCGAACTAGGAGGGTAATGTAGGCATACCGCACTTGCAAATGAAGCCCGGGATTTGAAAGTGCGGTATTCCTACATTACCCCACTAGTTCGAACTAGCGGGGTAGTGTAGACATACCCTAAGAGCCAGGACTGGTGGCTGTAAACAAACTTTATGGGACAGCGGGAGACGTGGCCATACCCATGATAAGTGGATGTCAGCCTAACTAAAATCATGCTGGACCATGGATGTTGCTGGACCAGAGTTTGCCAGTCTAAAGAGATGCAACCTGCACTTTTATTTTCATTGCACCACATACATCTAAAAGTAAATTTGAAACCCTGAATGTTTTTTCTCTATTTCATGTGAGGTTTCTAATAAATTTCCATCCAGCTGTTTCTGGTCCTGTCACACTAAAACTACAAAATGTGAAGGGAGTAATATTGTGCAGCTTCATTACATTTTGCAGTACAGGGCTGTCAACCACATAAGTTTGTGAAATGCAGCCTTCCTTAGCTGTGCTTTGTAAACCCAGGGATCTCATGATGATTTATTGTGCAAATATATAATTCACTTTTTTTTGTGGGGGATAATTCATTCAAATCAAAATCTTATTTTACCAGCTCTGTTGGTGAGTTTTAATTGAACATGAACACACAGGCTGCGTGGTAATTTCAGTTCTGGTGTACACTTATGATTACAAGATTAACATTAATTTTCCACAAATCTTCTGGTATACAAAGAACTTTAGCATATACTTAACTGAAAGCACATGTGCAGTCTTGTACTTAGTCAAGCTTATGTGTAAGTATATTGCTGGACTGGCACCTATTTTGGCAAACATAACTGTCCACAAACTTGTCTGACATTTGCAGAATGCAAATTCAAAAGTTGTGCAGGAAGACCACAGATGCTACTTTCATTTGGATCTGAATATTCCTGAAAAATTGTCATGTAGCCACGTTCGTGTCTCTTCCTTGAAGAATCTAAGGTTATAAAATACAATGCTGCATTGCTGTAGAAGGCAGTAAATAGAGGTGGTACCTACTCCCTTTTGCTACATCTGAACATCAAGATAAACCGTGACCCAGGCTGGCAGGATGAGAGTAGTTTCAGACTTGCTGCTCCTGTACTGTTGAGCGCTGATGTCATTACTGTGCAATACCCATTGTTCCTTTCTAGTCCCTGATTCTCCAAAACACAATGCATTGTTTGGTCTGTTTGGATTTTTTTTAATTGAGTTGTTGTTGGTTTTGTTTTAGGTTTTTTTTTTTTTTTTTTCATGATTTCTAACCTGTACATAGGGCCTTACCAAATTCACAGCAATGAAAAATGCATCACAGGCCATTAAATCTGGTCTCCACCTGTGAAATCTAGTCTTTTGTGTGTTTTTACTCTGTACTCTACAGCTTTCATAGGGGAAACGGGGGGAAGGGAATCCTGCTCCAATGAAGCTGCAGGGGGTGTCACAAGATTATTATGGAAGGGGTCATGATGTTGCCTTCAGAGCTGGGCAGCTGGAGAGTGGTGGCTTTTGGCCATGTGCCTAGCTTTGAAAGCCACCCTTAGTTTTTCAGTGCTGCCTTAAGAGATGGGCTCCTGGCCAGCAGCTGCTGCTGCTCAGCTCTAAAGGCAGCATCGCCATGAGCAGTAGTGTAGAAGTAAGAGTAGCAGTACCACAACCCCTCCTACAATAACATTGCCACCCCCAACTCCTTTTGGACCCCCTACAATTACACTGCCAACAATTCACATTAAAGTAGCTGAAATCGTGAAATTTATGTTTTTTTTAAAATGCCTTATGTCTGTGAAATTGTCCAAACTGGACTGTGAATTTGGCAGGGCCCTATCTATACAGAACTGATATAGTCACAGGAACATGATATATATTTGAAATAATTTTTGATGCTGGAACATTAGGGTCTGATTTCAATTTGCCTGTTCTATGCACCCCCATGCCACCTATTCCCCCCCCCCCCCCCCCCCCCCCCCCCCCTCCCCCGCACCCTCCCTTTTTTTTCACCTGCACATGGTACTTTGCATTAGTGGAAGACTGGGCAGTGGTCCTTAGTAGTCCTTTACTGCTGGCATAACTCAGAAGAGCTCTGAATTACTTCAGCCCCTCCCCTCTTCAGCTTTGCTTCTACAAAGTGCCAGTAAAGTTGTGCAAAACTCTAACAAAACCCATTTCAGCTGGCTGTGGCTTTAATTACAAACTGGAAGACTTGGCCAAAGTCAAGCCAAAAGGTTGGTTGAGGACCAAGAGCTTGGACCGTTTTGAGAGGATCCGAGCCAGCTGATGCATTTGCATGGAAAACTGACCCTGTGAAGTGAAACAGTTGACTTTTGCATTGCACTTCCTGCCAGCCCAAGAAGTGATGGGTCAAATAACTGAACACAGATCTTTCCCTTGGCAGTTTAGAGCTCTGTCAACAGAGTGGGCAGAATATAGCTCTTTGGATGCAGTCAACACACAGAGGCTAATGTTATCCCATCCGTAATGCAGTCAAATTGCATTTTTGTATTACAAAATTTTAAGTAGATTTGGAATTTATCAGAACAGTAGGAAAATACATTCTGTTCCCCCAGTCTGTCTCATTTATAAATATATACTTTGAATAGGTGGAATCTCATAACACACACAGTTATTAAATTCCCTTGCTGAACTGTTTACTTCTGTCAGTCAATATTAACTCACTTTCTTGCTGCACTCTGAATTGCGAAGTTTTATAACAAGACAGTGTGAAAAGATGGTCCAGGACATAGGTGTTACCTTATTCTGCGATGCTATAGCACTCTATATTTCCAGCACTTGCTAGTGGAGCCTAAATATTGTGTCCCAAAACTAGAAAATTTCAAATTGCAGAGGTTTCTTTGCAGGCAGGGTTTATAGTGAATATTCTATGCAAGGGTGGCTCATTGACTGCCAGTCTGCACTAACGTCCTTTTTACCTTGAGTTGATTGCTTGCCAACTAACTTGAGGTAGGTAACTTTTTTCGTAAAGGCTAGATTGGATGCTACTCCCTAAAGTTTACTCTGGGATGTCAATGTTTAGGAGTCCCCTTAACCAGACGACACATGTTAAAACTACAACTTGCCCTGTTTACTCTAGGAGTTAAATCTAATTGACTTGAAGTGAGGTGCCTGCTGATTGCACACGATGTTGACTCTGAGAGCCCATGTGCCAGTTCTTAGCTTTTCCCAGAACATGATCCCAAATTACACTAAAAGCTGTGCCTTTCCCACCCAGCTAGCTAGAGAAGGAAAGTGGTCGTGGCTGGTTTATGAGTGCCGTACACACCCTTAGCTTATGCCTTAGTCTAGTGCAGTGGTTCCCAACCTTTTGGGGCTGCTGGGAGCCCGGGGGCAGGGCCACTCATGTGCCAGGCGCCTGGGGGCGGGGCTGTGCACACGCTGCATGCCCGGTGCTGGCGCTACTCCTGTGCCATTCGCCCAGGAGTGGAGCTGCCCATACGCCATGTGCCCGGGGCT